TACCTCTATGAAGACTCAGTGAATAGTCTGTGCAGTTTTCCATTACTTTTCACCTTGGTGTGTGCAGTTTGCGGGAAGTTCGAGTCACCCCCCCTTGCTTTCTAAACATCACTCGCTGGTTTGGGAGTGTTGGGCTAGGTGTGGCTGGAGCAAAATGTCCTTCCCCAAATACAGATTGCACAACAAAACCTGCAGCCCCTTTTATCTGTCAGAAATCATGTCTGTGATGCCAGTTTAAATGTCATGATCCGCTAATGCAAGTGGGAGTCATGAGAGGTTTGTTTGATCTCAGAGTGCAAAAAGGACACAAAGGGATTTCAATTTAAACCACAACATCAATAATGCACCTTTATGTTAGTGCCAACAACAAGGGTTATGCGATAGAGGAGAGGGAGAGAGAGAAGGAGACATAAAGAAAACAAAGTAAAGAGAGAGAGAAGGGGGAGGTTGTAGCTACCAACGGATGAGATGGGGTCTTCTTCCGCAGGGAGATCTTGCAGAAATTAACTTAGCCTTATGTAGTTCTTCCCGAAAGTTACCCTGTTTCCAATGTGCTAATAAGCACCCCAAAGGAGAAGTACCTGGCATGGGAGCATTGCTGCCCAAAATTCCTTTAAGCTTCTCCATATTACAACTACAATACACCACAAATGCTGAACCTGGGATGATTTCTCGGTTGTCTGACAGCTGGCGCCTAGGCAATACCACCAGGAATTCCTTTAGCCCAACCAAACGTAGCTTTTGCTGCGTCCTATTGGCAGACAACCAAACCAAAATAAAGCACCTTTCCTCTTCTCCCGGGGACGTTGTGAGCAGTGGAGATGGTTGCGGCTGATGGGCTCCCTGAGAATCCCTCGGTGCCGGCTGGAGCATGATCAGGTCACGAGCTTGCTCAGCAGTACTCACAGGATCCCATCGAGCATTGCCAAAAATGTTAGTGTTCAGGAACACATAATCACAGAATGATTATGTGAAGCTGCCTTTATTAAAGAGCTCTGGGCATCAGGGTTACACATACCCAAATCTGACCCCACTTGGTTTTGAGCTGAACATATTTTTATATTCTATTGTTATATAACTTACATATTAATTATTTGACTTACATTGTTCTATTGTATACACTGATTCCATCCAAGCATGGATTTGTCATGATCCCGTTCAAACCCCTAACATAGTTTCTCACGATTCTTTAAACAATAATTATACCTAATCACATCTAACAATTATATAATTTATCATATACTGACTACACAGGTGCAGTTTCACACGATCTTAGCAAGCACAAGGCCTAACATTTCCCAGGGCCTACTTTTAACACTTTTCCCAGGACTTGCCAAGCCTAACTTTCTTTCGAACTCCCCAAATTTTCTATGGTTTTAAAATCTTTTACTATCACCTCCACCACAGGGAACAACTGGGGGATGCTTTGTTTTCCCCCATCATCCTGCAGTTCCCCGAGTCCTGGGCAGGGTGACTCCCGCTGAGCAGGGGAGGGGGTGGCTGATTCTCCCGCATCCCCCTCCCGCCGGTCACCCGCCCCGTGGGACTCAGACAAAAAGGCACCCACCCCCAGGCTAGACTCGCTAATGGATGGGGCTGGGGAAAAGATCCCCTCTAGGCAGTCGTGATCTGACTCTGATGCAGTCTCCCGTGAGTCACAGTCCAGCAGAACGGCTTCTGGATCAGGCCAGTCTCCTCCATCAGAGCCTGCATCCGAGACGTCTTGAGATGAGGCCCTGGAGCTCGCAGCTTCAATTAAATTCATGAATTTCTTCCTTGGGAGGAGCAGTTTTACTTCTTCACCATTGACAGACAGTACCAGCTGATACAAGGTGTCACCTACGGTCCGCCAACAATCTTTCAGCAGTGCATCAGCGATAGTCAGAAAAAAATCCATGTTCTTTCCCCCATAAATACAAAGCATTAATATCTGCTTCTGGAATACCCAGTTCCTGCCTGTGGAGAATGTCTAACCAGAGACCCAGGACAATCTCATCCTCTGGGGCTAGAGCAGCAACTGGCATACTGTCAGCTCACTGGGAAAAGCCTCCAGCAAAAGGAAAAAACGGCAGGCAAAAACCCCGCAGTATGGACTAAAAAACCCCCCAGAATTCCGTGGGGGTGGGGGGGCGTGAAGAAGGTATTACCTTCCCACAGCTGGGATCTCAATCCTAAGTCCCACCTGGGCGCTAGATGTCGCTGAAGGACAAGAAGTATTGAGGGTTCCCCAGACAATCAGACACAGCCACTTCTTCGTGAGGCAAAAATCCTTTATTTTGGGTATTTTAACCCCTTTTATAAGGAGTTTTGATCCAGGTTACATGATTAGACAATAAACCAGCACCCCCTTTGGTCCCATTGGTGGGACCATAGAAGACACACTAAGAACATCTGTTCAGTATTGTTTTAAGAAATATAATTGATATACAATAAAACAATCCTTGAGAGTCTCTATTTTCCTGGGAGTATTGGAATCTTTCTTAGACACTCTTTGAGAAGACTGAATTTCATGTGTGGAGCAATTTCAGGATTACTTAAAGTTTCTCTAGTGTACTCTTTGAAAACTAGGTATGATAATTACTCCAAGGCAAGAAAGCAATACAATATTGGTGAGAATTTAAAAATAAAATAATTTAAAAATAAAAATAATTTTAAAATTAATGAGTTCTTCGTGTGGGTATATGTTTGTGCTTCAGGGATTTTTTTGGATGACACAACACGACACTAAACTCCAGATATTTAACCCACAGCAGAGCTCTTTATTTCTGCCACTGTGCCAAGGACATGAGTGATAATGCCTTGGGAAATTAGCAGCCCAATACCTATGCTTTCCAGGGATCATAAGTTGTAACCACGTGTCTCTACTTATCTTCAGAAAAGAGGAGAAGGAACCATTTATTTGTCCTTTGGGACTGTTTTCTCCCAGTGCTCAAAGTCATGCCTTTTTCATGTATTCTGCTGACATAGCACATTAGCAATATCTGGTGACATGACTAGATTTTTTTTTCCCTAAGTGCAGAAAGTATTGATATTGGGGTTTTATCTGATTTCCAGAAATCCATGCCTCTGAGAAGAATGGGCCACTGTGAGGAAAAAAATAAATCCAAGGTTGAAATGTTCATAGATAGTATATATTGTTAGAAAAATGAGAGAAAAAATTAAATCAAAGAGTAGTCATCTAAAAGTAAAGTGTTGTCCTAGTTTAGGGCAAATCTGGGAGAAAACTCCAAATGGGGTTCCCCCAGGAAAACAAAATTCAAATGACCCCTCCCCCCAGCTGGGCCGGGGGAAAAAAAGAATCCTTGAAGACAAATGGAAAAAGCTGTTTATTTAACAGAAATTGAATAATATTAAATAATAAAACCTCTCACTGTTCGACATGATGGCAAATCCAGGAAGAAAAATCCTTTTCAAGTGGTGTAGCTTGGCTCGCTCATATTCTTATCAGTCCCTCTGGTGCCAGATAGTGCCGAGGCCCAGGCCCCGGTGGGCCACAGGAGTGAGCTCCCGGGGTTTGGCTGGGTGTTTTTCAGTCCAGAGCAGGTTTGCACAGATCCAGGAAAAAGGGGAAAAAAAGGTCCAGGGAACTCCTCTGCCTCAGCTAGCTAAAACTAACTAAAAGCCAAAGCTCTGTCCCACTGTCTGTCCGTGCTGCAGACACCACAGTCCAGGAGCAGAATGTGGGGGAGTGATGTTTTCTTTCAACACAAACTGCGCGCTTCTTCTTCCCCTGCTTTGCTCTCAGAGCCAGTCTTAAAGGTGCAAAACTTAATATATACCATAAACCAGGCGACTAGGGATACCAGTATCATAAAGTCACCGAGGACAAATGTCCAAGGAAGGTTAAACCTCTACTGCCAAAGAAGATATATACAGTAGTCACAGCTGGAGCTATGGCCCCAGTTTTGCACAGCCCCATCTTCTCATTCTCAGCAGCCCACTCCCGGATATTTCAAGGGTTACTGTTCTGTACTCTATTTGCTCTCCTATAACTTACAATGCTGTTGTATGTATGGTCTGTAAGGTTAAGTTCATAATCCTTTACAAAGTCACTCAGTTTGCCTTTAAAAGCAGGCAAAAATTTATAAAGATTCATTTGTAACCCCGTATTTCACACAGGTTTCAATAATCCTTTATATCAAAGGGTAATATTCTGTGTGTTACATTTACAACCACAGTTGTCCTCAGTTCTTCTGCACATGAATCAAATAGGAGAAAAGATGATGTGGTATATTTAATTTTGTTTCCAAAATCACTGTCGTGCATTTTTGAGGTCTTGAAGTCAATGAGAATTGGAAGTAGCTGTTGTATGGAATTAAAGGGATATTTATAAAACTACCCCTGAAATACAGAGTGTTGTCTTGTCTCACCTACAAGTCAGGGGTATTGGTGAAGCAGCCATGGATATTGCCCAAAACTCCCACTTGGAAGAACTAACTCAGTTTAGCTCTGGGTACACAGTGCTGAGCAGAATTTAAAAGCTGCACTCAGAAGTGGGTATCAGTAGCAAATGGGCATAACATGAGAAGATACCTTTCTGAAGAACAGGTGGCAGCTGTTTTATTCTGATCACCCTAAGGTGCCATTGAATTATTTTATTACCCATTTGTTGCCTCAGAATGAGGTGTAGCGACCCCGTTCGTGAACGACACGAGGGCTAAACTTACAGGCCTGTCGGGCCAATCACATGCTAACACCAATGTGGTGGAGGTTGAAGAACGCTTATTTCCGGTGTGCAGGTATTTATATAACTGAGGTATGATGACGTAAGCACCGTGACATTATGGGTTATGGAACTTTGGAGAAAGAGGGGCCCTATCTTCCCGTACAACGCGAGATCTTCCGATCGGCTTTCCCTATCTGACTGCATCATCTCCCCCTTTCTCCATGAACAGAACTTTGTAACTGAACGACTTATGTAATTAGCAACAAACCGTGAACTTGTTAGTAATAAACGTGAAACGAAACCGCGGTGTGTTAGTACGAACTATCATGCAAACTCAGGTTAACTGTCTCTGTTCCAAATATAAAATGTCAATTTTATCTAAACGGGTTTTTATAAACTGGGCTAACTTATTAAGGAGACAAGGACCAAAAGTAAGTATGAACACAACAACGATAACTGGTCTTGCTAACGTGGAAACAAGGGTAATAATCTATGGGGATTGGTTGAACATTGAACTAAACCAGTTCTGCTGAGAGCGTTGCTGGCTACGCTCTTCAAGTCTTTGTTGTAGCTCTGCCATGGACTGCTTGATTGGCCCAGAATAATTGGCATAGAAACAACACTTCTCGTCCAAAGCAGCACACAGACCTCCTTGGTGCATGAGTAAGATGTCCAGTCCTCGTCTGTTCTGCAGCACTACCTCTGCAAGGGAGTTGAGGGATCGCTCCAAGTTGGAGATGGATTCTTGGATTCTGTGCAGGTCTTCATCTACCATTGTTTGCAGTTGGGCTAGACCTTGGTTTTGAGTCACCAGGGCTGTGACACCTGTCGCTGCGCCTGTTGCTCCTAGACCTAAAAGTACTGCAAGACTGACGGCAGTAATGAGTTCTTGTCTGTGGCGTGGGAAACCTCTCTCCTGGTGGTAGGGAAGTAAAGGATCCTAGGGATAATAACCACTTGGACACAGAAATCATTCGTTTCATCAAAGTGTTTGATGGAAATACATGGGGTGATCCCTGTGGAGCTACAGGCCCAGATTCCCGAGGCTGCTGGAATTACCCAGGGCTTGGTCTTATCTAGAGTCACAGGAGTGCCACAAATCTCTTCATGGCGTTGTATTGCCTGTCTGTTGCCTATACAAACACCTACGCCCGAAACTTGCTCTAGTGTGATTCCCTTGCGAGGGGTGTTCCACAAGCATTGCTTGGGGTCATTCGCTCTGGAGTAGCTGAACATGGCATTAAGGGCTACCCCTTCGTAAAAGGGCGGGTAGGCATCATAGCAAAGCCAACAAGAACGGGTAAGGTCTGGCTTTGTTGCATTTAGCAATAGAAATGCGGCATTTAGCATGCGATGAAAGAGGGCATGAGACGTCAGTTCAAGCGCACCATGAAGTGCTGATGTGGCACTAGTGAGGCTAGGCGTGGGATTGCTGTTTATGTGATTGTATTGTTGGGCTACAACTCTGTTGGGTCCAAGAGCGGTGTGGTGCGGTTGTGAAGCTCTGATAATTTGAACCATCGTGCTCGGATCTGTATCCCAACTATGAAGGAATACTGACCACTTTCGTCCTAGCGACCAGTTGGTGTCTTGAGGTTGCAGGACTGTTACATTTAGGTGGGAACAGCTTCCTTTAGCAGTGATCATACTGCTCTTTCCAAACATGGACTGCTTGCAGCCTTTGGGCCAAAAACTCACATCTAGGAAACTATCTCTCCTAGCTAGTGTCCACTGGTTACTGGTGACGATGGTTTCACAACCCCAATACCCACAAAACCCATACCCAGGATAGGTGCAGTAGCTTTTACCAGGGTTGACACTAGGGCACCAGTATGTTCCCCAATTAATGTAGGCTAAAGGTTTTCCCTGACTAGGGTCAATTCCTATTCCATCGGTGTTAAATATGTCACTAATGTGAACAATGAAGCTAGGGGCATTAGACACAGTTTGGGCAATTACTCTACCGTCCAAGGGATTGTGAAGTGTCCAGGTGCACGGCCGGTAAGGATGCACATCCAGTTCTCCCTGTCCAATGCGAGGCAGGCTTAGAAACAGGAAAACACAAAGGCACAGACGGTGTCGTGAAACTGCTGATGTCCATGTCGAGGACGAGAAGCGAGGTCGACGTGGAGGATTATAGTGGTAGACCTGTTCAAAGAAGCTCTGAGGTTTCATTAGTTAGGTTATACAGAACAGGCTTTATTGATTTTAATGGACACCACTTAATAATATTATCTTTCTCCACTGTGGCATACCCCCGACCTGTCAGGACCAATTTCCACCCTGATTCCCAATCCAACGCTCTCTCAGCTGAGCTATTTCGGCTGCCTTCCATCGGACCAGTCTGTCCTGCAGCCCAGCTACGACGTCCTGCACAACTCCAGCGCGAATCGCGCAGAAGCAGCACTCTTTCTTTAGGGCGGCACAGAGGTGTTTCCGTCGCATGAGCCGAAGGCTGAGATTTCACTTTGCCCTGCACAACAACTTCGGAGAGAGAGGAGACCGACCCCTCTAGAAGGGACGTGGATCTCCCAACAAAGTCAGCGGAGGAGCCAAAGCCTTGGGTGTAAATACAAGGGCTTAGTTTACTGCGGTTGCAAACCCGCGCTGTGGGCTCGTCATTTGACCGCCTGCTCTGACCGGTGTCTGGGTCAGTGCCGGAAGTCGACTGACTCGAGGTTTCCGGGCTACGGTGCCTTTTTGTTGGGCTTCGCCCTCTCCCTTTCCCAGGGACTGGTTTTTCCCCTCCCTTTCTCCGCCTTCCTTCCAGCAGGTTCTTTTCCTTACGAGGAGATACTCTAGGGCACAATCCCTGATTGGACTGTGAGCTCTCCTCCCCTTCACCCTCGGCACCGTCCTCCCGCTTCCTGTTAGGCTCCCAATTGCGTATGCCCGTGCGCGTTAGGCACCCTTCGCTCCGCCCCTTGCTGCTCACCCCGGCGCCATTTCGCGGCGCGTATGGCGGAGGCCTTTCCCCGACATCTCCAGGGCCCGCAGTGTCAGGCGCGCCCCGTGACTCCACGGCATCGGTAGGCCCCTGCGGCAAAGTGTGTTCCGTGGCCAAACCCGCGTTAGAGCTGGGCAGGCAGGACGGCGACTCGGGTCGCCCATCATCATTAGATGGCCACTTAGAATCGGTGGGGCAATCAATGAATGTGGTCTGAGTGGCAGCTCCTACCCCCACCCGCGGTGTAACCTTTAAACAGCTTTGAGCTGCCTTCCAAGTTTTTTGTTCCTGAAGCATTTTACACAGCGCTTGCGTAACTCTCGCCCAGCTTTTTAGGTACCTGCTGGACCTGAAGCACATCACGTCATTCGTGAGCGCCTCGGTACACCTATCCCAGCAATCTGGGAGAATAACATCCACGGGATCATCAATAACACACAATTCTAGTAATCTGACAACCACGGGTTCAAAATTCCTTGATTTTTTGCAGTCTATACCACTCTCCTTATGCAGCTGCGAATCTACCTTCCCGAGCGACTGCATCTCGGTGGTACAGGAGCGTCCTCCCCGCTGGAGTCGGTCCTGCTGCTCTAGCCATCCCTCAGCTTCCGGCGAGACTCCCGAACTCCGGCTGCTCGAACCCGTGTATCAGGGAGCGGTCCCGGGTTTTGGCACCACTTGTTGCCTCAGAATGAGGTGTAGCGACCCGGTTCGTGAACGACACGATGGCTAAACTTACAGGCCTGTCGGGCTAATCACACGCTAACACCAATGTGGTGGACGGTGAAGAGCGTTTATTTCCGGTGCGCAGGTATTTATATAACCGAGGTATGATGACGTAAGCACCGTGACATTATGGGTTATGGAACTTTGGAGAAAGAGGGGCCCTATCTTCCCGTACAACGCGAGATCTTCCGATTGGCTTTCCCTATCTGACTGCATCACCCATTTTAACAGCTAAATATAAATTTTTATAAGTTTGTGACAATAATCATCCAGCAGTTTGTCTCTACTGAAAATTATGTTAGAGAGGAATCCTTCTTGGGAAGAAGACTCCCTTTTTTGAGTTCTCTGTCTCTTTACAATGCTGAACATCACACCTGGTATTCATCCATTCCCAAAAATGTGTGTGAGTGAAATTTCAGTGCTACTGAAATCAAAGGCCAAGACTAACCTTGGAGGGAGAGTTTGACCAGTTCTAACCATGTTACAAAGAACGATGAGAATGTTGCCCTGTCCCAAACCATCTGATAGACAAATGAACTATGGCAGAAGGGGATCAAACACGGAATTTCTTCCGAAAGTAGGACAGAAATCAGTGTCTGTAATTGCAGAAACCACAGAAAGCTTAGAAGACTAGGATGTAAGCTATGTACTTTGGAAAAAAATGAACTCTGAGTTACTAAGGCACATACCAGCTTCCACGGAACTGGCAACAGAAATCTAGACTGAGAACAGGAGCCTGAGGTCTTCATTTGTTTCGCAGTAACCTAGATTGCAAAAAAAAAAAACCCAGAACTATGTCACCACTCTGATGTTCTTCTGACAACAGAGATGATTCAAAGCTTCTGCCTAAATAGTGAGGACAAGACAAATTTAACTTTAACTTAATGTGCCTGGGTACAGCTAGTTTTGCAGTCTCCCATACAATTCATGGAGAGAAGAGTCCAGCGCTAGGGTATGACTCATGGTCAGGTGTGTATCTTAGGAAGAGATAAATTCTACTTTTATATGACGGTGTCTGCGTATTGGCTATAAAGGTGCCCTAGGCAGCTATCTTAGATGTAATTTTGTGTTCAATAGACATCTAAAGGTGAATTAGAATGAGTTATATCCTTAAGCCTGATATTAATCCATTTCTAAGTGCTTGCTGTGATCTTGTATTTCTGTATTATCTTCATTTTTGTTGATTAGACCAGTATACTACATCAGAGCATGAGAGCTTTACCCAGTAACTTTGGAAACAGCCTGAAATGCAACATAAATCTTGTGTGTTTTTCTATCTTTGTACTTTCCTCCTGCCAGTGCAGTTTGTATGCAACAGAAATGAACATGACCTTAAATATTTCAGTTTCCACTTAACACTCTTGTAACACTCTAAATACTTCTAAGATTAGTATAGTAAGGATGCTTATACTGAGGTTTGCCATCCTAGAAAGTGTACTGGATATTAATCACTACTGAATAGAAATAATATCCTTCCAAATCCATTCATTTTTACAACCCAGCTTGCTGGTGTCTTTGAATTTAGTAACAATAGAATTTCTCTTGCATTATTTAGATGATTAATGAAAATCTTCAACAATACTGAGCAGACTAATGTGGAGTCTTGTTAACCATGTAGCAGTACTGTGACTATCAGTTAAACAACCTTTGCCGATTTTGATCTTGGTTGCCTCATATCCTTGTGAAAATTCAACATGAGATCCTCCCAAAATGTTCATAATTTATAAATTCCATTGCCTTTCCAATATTCAGAGGGCATAAAATTCTGCTGAAGATGCATATTACTTTGATTTCATGTGGCTTATTCATAGAAGGAACATGTCCTAGCTATGATTTGTTTTTGTGCTATCTTTACACTTAAAATATTTTTTTATTCTAACACATCTCCAGGAATTTATCTTAATCAAAAGTTCCTTAAATCTTCCCTTGCACCCTTCATAAAGATATGTGCTATGGGTCTTTTTCCTAGTTATTTTGTTTTTCCATGAACTCAAAGTAATGCCTTAAGTTTTTGGTTTTTCTGTTCTTTGGTGGCTTTTATTCAGGGTTACTAGGATCTTTTCACAGGGTGATGAAGACACAACAATCCTGTTCCGGTTGGGGACTCAAGGACAATTTTTTCAAACTTCAGGCTCAAAGTATAAACAATGTGAAAAGGAGGGCAAGCAAGCAGGACTCCTGTATGCAAATGGACCGAAACATATAAAAATGTGAGATCTTGTGACTAGGTTCTCCTTTTGCTTCCGTCTTGGAGCCATCCAGGCAGAGCCCCGATTGTAGCACTGGTACTGCCAGGGTGTGGCTTTTGAAGGCCTCAATAAATATCCTTTATTCCTTTTAACTCCATCTACCTTCTGTTCCAGCTCCTCGAGGTATTGCTAGAGACTGTAATATGATTGATGTACTTCAGCCGGGTTTTTAAGTATTTTTACATGAAATTTGTCCAAACCAAACAGCCAGAGAATATTTAATTTAGCTGAGCTCTTTTTCATCTCTCTTTAATGCTGAATTTATATGCTACTAATATAGCCGTTTCTAAAACTGAGCGATTATCATGGATAATATTTTTTTTTCTTTATATTTTATTAAAAACTTCTCCTTTCTGGTATCATGTCAGTTATTTCCTGTCTTGAGTAATGAACTCGTGGTGTAACTCTTTTTCTTTTGTTATTAATAATGAAGAAGGGAATAAAATGTTTACTATGGTAAAAAGGTTACTATGGTTAAAAGGTACAAATGGGCCTGAATTTCAGTAAGGAAAATTCATATTAAATGTTATTAATTTTTTTTAATGATAAGGGCACTGAAGACATGGAAAAGATTGTCTAGTGGGGCTCTGGAGCTACCTCTCACTGTGTATCTTTGAAAACAGGCTGGTCAAATTCTCTTCTGGTTTTCTCTTCTTGGTTTGTTTGGGGGTTTTTGTTCTTTTGGGGTTTTTTTTGTGGGTTTTTTTGTTTGTTTGTTTTTTGTTTGGTTTTTTTTTGTAATGGCAGAGGAATGGACTATTTACTGAAGTTCTTTTTCTGTGGTTCTATGAAAGATAATCTAATTTTTCTGGTGAAAATTCAGGCTGAAGATATTATGAATACAAACTAGGAGCTGTAGGTTATATTTGCTGCTTTGTATTCTTCAGGCAACTCTGTGCAAAATCAGCCAGTTTATCCATCTGTCTCTCATATGACAGTCCTCTGGCTGCTGAAGGCAATGTGAGATTACTGAACATAGACACTTCTCCTGGGGTGATCCATATATCCTAGAACAGACAGTCTGAATCTACAGTGGAGTTGAAATCTGAGAAAGGACAGGAGAGTGAAGCTCACAAGAAAAGTGCAGGGACGTGTAAAATGTTTATACCTGTGACCTTTACAAATTAGCTTTGGTTCCCACAAACCTCTTACATGAGACCTTCTTGTCAGATCTCTTGAGCAGGAGGCAATGAAAAGGTCACATTAGTCCCCTTTCAGCCTTCCTTGTGCTATAAGCTGAAAATAAAACCATATTTTCCAGACATTTTAATGCAAATCTGCATGTTTTCTGCAATACTTTTAATCTTGGCAAAGACATCCACAGTTGTTGCTGCATGAAATATTTGATTTTGGTAACACCTTCATTCTACACCTTGATTATATATGGAGATAAAAACCAACTCCCTAGCTCTGCCATTTAGTGATGACGTGGCTGTAGAGAAGAAAAGCTTTTTTTTTTTAACCCATATTTTTGTCATGGTATGTGAGTGAGAGTGAAACAGAACTTTTCCTTGTGGATACCAACAGGGAAAGAACGATGGAGGGGACTTTATTTCACTCTTTCAGAGCTTAGACTTAATTAAAGCCTTACCAGTAGCTAGGACACTGGGAAAAGTGCAGTCATGGCTGTGGCTTTGCTATGCTGAACTGGCCAGTAGACCATGGTGTTCATTTGAAAACATGGTAACAGTAATTTTTTCTCCATTCCACCTTTGCCATGGAACTCAGTATCTTAATTTCAGGTTCAGCAGAGAACTGTGGGTCAACTTGCCTGCATTAACTTTCCTGAAGTTCAGGTTATTACATTATCAGGTTTGATCAATCATGAATGATTTGGGATTCATTCTGAAATATATTCTATGCTTTTAGTGACTGACATTGTTGCTGTAGGAACTAGCCTGATGCATCTTCAATTATAATTTAAAAATCTGGTATGCTTTTTGTGTGTTTCAAATAGCAGAACTCCATAAGGAAAATTAAAACAAAGAAGGAAAAAATTGGCATATGAGAGACCTTCTCTCCTGTAAAATACTGAATTGTCAGGAAAAGACAATTTTTTTTGTGTTATTTTGTATGATTCCTCATAATCTCTTGGAATACTTTTTCACAGACTTAAATATTTTAGAAATTTAACTGAATTCTTATCATAATTAACTGTTAATCAATCATATAAAGTATCACAATTAATTTTTATATGTTAAATCTCTTTTAAATAAAGTGAATATTTGGGTGCGTAAGAGCATTAGGATTTATAACACTTAAATATTTTCATAACACATATTAAAAATATTTAAGTGGACTTTTGATGGGGTGCCCATAAAACATTTAAGTAAAATTTGGATTGGGTACATGACTGACTAAGTAAACATGTATCAGCTTAAAACCTGTTCTTACAGTACAAATTTCACTTATTTCAGAGCTATCCACCATTATAACAATTGCTCATTCTTCTGTGCTCTTAAGTATATTGTGATTATTTACTGCTTGAGTATTCAGAAACCAGAGGCTCATTCTGCTTTTGAACAAACATTCATATCTTTATAACTTTCTGGGTCAGAGGGAAGAAGG